CAATTAACCTAGTCCCCAATCTGCATGTCTTTGGACTGTGGGAGGAAGCCGGAGTGCCCGGAGAGAACCCACGCTGACACGGGGAGAACATGCAAACTCCGCACAGAAGGGCTCCCACACCCGGGATCGAACCGGCAACCCTCTTGCTGTGAGGCGACAGTGCTCCATCGAAACATGTAAAGCAGAAAATGAAAATACAAGTAAATTCAGTGCTCACAAAATGAAAGACAAAAATTATATAAGGGAAAACCAATTAATTAACCCCTAATTTTGCCAAAACAGAAACAAAACTACAAACACAAACACAGACATCTGAAGTCATCAAGCCTTTTTATTTAGAAAGCAGAACCAAAGTAATTTAAAGTGTCTCATCAGAACTGGATCCTGTTTTAGATAAAGTCAGAAAAACATGATATTAATGGTTCTCGTCTGAGCACAGCAGAAACCATTAAGAGCCTGATAGATTTATAAATAGAATTTTAAAATATTCTGTATTGCACTCAGAGACAGAGAAGTGATTTAAACACTGTCTTTGTGTGTATGAATAAGGACTCTGGATGCTGTGATTTAAATGAGCTGGAGCCTCTCCATTGATTCTTCTGGTAATTGTGCAAAAAGTTCATTAACCTGTTTGAGATGAATGAATGAGACAGTTTCTCAGAAAGAGTTAATTGAATCCGCAACTTTTGATGTTTCCTCAAGTGATATTCAACTAAATATAAATAAGAACACACCCATACAATGAAGTTAAATACACCGACAGTTACATATGTCTCAACCATATATTAAGTAATGCATGTCAAATCAAATGATGCACAAACAAACACACAAACAAACAAACAAACAAACAAACAAACCAAGAACATACTTAGACAAGAAATTGTACATATTAGAGGTTTGGACAATGCCCCCCTTTTCTTAATAAGAATAAACATTGACTCTTATGGACAGTAAAATGATAATTTGCAACTCTCTAGCGACAACATGTGCCGCAAGATTCTTGAAAAGTCAACCCTGCTGGGCATTTTTGCCTGATGCCTTCCCCAAAGACACAGTTGAAAAAATAGGTTGGGTCAGTACTGTCAGGAAAGTGCCCAAATTGCTGTCCATTACATGGATCTGTATTATTGGCTGTTGTGGGAGCTGCTGTTGTTGGAGCTGCTGTTGTGGGAGCGGCTGTTGTGGGAGCTGCTGTTGTTGGAGCTGCTGTTGTGGGAGCGGCTGTTGTTGGAGCGGCTGTTGTTGGAGCTGCTGTTGTGGGAGCTGCTGTTGTGGGAGCAGCTGTTGTGGGAGCTGCTGTTGTTGGAGCGGCTGTTGTTGGAGCGGCTGTTGTGGGAGCTGCTGTTGTTGGAGCTGCTGTTGTTGGAGCTGCTGTTGTGGGAGCTGCTGTTGTTGGAGCGGCTGTTGTTGGAGCTGCTGTTGTGGGAGCTGCTGTTGTTGGAGCAGCTGTTGTGGGAGCGGCAGTTGTTGGAGCTGCTGTTGTTGGAGCTGCTGTTGTTGGAGCTTCAGTTGTGGCAGTGTTTGTTGTAGCTGTAAGGTCAGGAAAACCTAAAAGAACGAGAATCAGATATTTTGTTAATTCTATTTTCTTTAACTCTGTTTGATCAACACATCGTATTTTCATATCACTGAGCTTGACTGCTGAGATTTCTTCATAGAGAGAGCAGATATTTGCACTCTGCATGATATAATATAATAAAGTCAATAACAGGTGATTACATTAAGGCTGACCTAATTAAATCAAACACACAGGATGTCAGGATAGGATAGAAACATTTTGGATTTTGATTACCTGGACACAGGAGAGTGTGCAGGTGGCTGATGAAAGGGTTGTTGCCCTGTTTACAGAACTGTCCACTAGTGTCATCCAGGTCCAGAGACCAGACGAAAGCTCCTCCAAAGTTGTTAGCCTTTAGGTAACTGGTCTGAGAGGACAAGGAAAAAAGCCCTGACGTACGTTTGGCAAAACATCGATTTAACCAGATTGTTCAACCATTCACTGTCATTTGTATTGTATTTACTGGGCAATACTTTGAATTAAACTGATGATTACCTTTGTATCAAGGCTGTCTTTGTCATCAAATCCAGCCCATTGATTTCCTGTGGTGGCATATGGAACGCTCTGATCAGAGATCGGCTGAATATCATCATATTCAACATAAAGACAAATCTGAAAAAAGGTCAAATCACCCATTTAGATGAAACATGCTAACATACACAGAAATGTGTCAAACCAAATGCAGTAAAAGCAGCACAGCCTATGATCAGGTTAATGGAAATTCATAGCTTGCAGTTTTACCTCATAAGAGGCCCAGAATCCTTCTTCACCAGTGAAGAGACCTCCTATACCGGCACCATTGGCTGGTGCTCCAACAACACTGGATGCAGAGGAGAGGTTAAAAACTCGCCCGTATGCTGCTAACCCCATGTTTATCTTTTCTGGTGGTGCTCCCTGGTCCCGCCAGTACCGCATGGCATAGTCCTGCAATGTGGAGAAAAATGAACAATTAGAGTAAGCGGTCATCTCCAAAGGTTTTTAGACTGTTAGAATATAAATCCCTGTTCTTACAGTGTTAGCGTAGATGTTGTTTCCAGTGTCCTGAGATCCCTGATATAAGGGGCTGTGATGTCCTGTGACACTTTCCCAGGGGCCGTGAAAGTCAAATGTCAGCACATTAATGAAATCCAGGTACCTGAT